CAGCAAACTTCCCCTGGAGTGGGGAGGGAATGGAGATTTTACAGTATTCTTCCCCTGCCATGCCAACAAAGCCACACCCACTGCTACGCCATGTCCACCAAGCCACGCCCACAGAACTGGTAGTAAAAAAAATTGAATCCCCCCCAGGGGTGGGTTTCAGGCAGTTCGCGGCGGTCCCCGCGAACCGGTTGGTCGGCGAACCCAGAAGTAAGTAACTTCCAGGAACGCTGAAGGATCCACCCACCCGCCCGCATTTCTTACCCGGTTTTGACGAGTTCTGCGCTTCCATGCATGCATATAGCACCTGCGCGATCCTCCAGGAGCAGCTGGAGCATCGCACAGGCGCTAGTATGCATGCGGGCACTGCGCGCGTGCACGAGGATGCCGCCGGCCCCGCTCCAACCCAACCGGTTGGAACGGGGCGAGAAACCCACCCCTGGGTGGGATTCAATTTTTTTTACTACCAGTTCTGTGGGCGTGGCTTGGTGGACATGGCGTAGCAGTGGGTGTGGCTTTGTTGGCATGGCAGGGGAAGAATACTGTAAAATCTCCATTCCCTCCCCACTCCAGGGGAAGTTTGCTGCAAAATCTCCATTCCCTCTCAATCATTTGGGACTCCGGAAGCAGAGAATAAACGGGGTCAGTCAGAGATGGTATTTACTAGTTCTCCGAACTACTCAAAGTTTCCACTACCAGTTCTCCAGAACTGGTCAGAACGTGCTGAATACCACCTCTGATTAAAAGACAAAAAATATAGGAACTTACCATGTTTTTTATTCAGAACATGTTTCTTATGATCTTGAACATCTTTATGAGCTATTAAAATTATTGTATTAAAAGTTTAACATTAATTAACCTACATTTTTTAAAACTTTTTTTCTTATAATAGTAAATTCAATAAAGTTTTCTGATTTTTAGGGATAATATCAATACAGGCCTAATAGAAGAAATTATCTGAATAAAATATAGAGATAACCCTACTATATACAGTATGTTTTCTAAAATAATGAATGGACAAAAGTTATCTATAGTATTCCTATAGCTTTTGACTACTAGGCTTTCTTTTGTTTTACTGCTTATTCCTTTTAAATTTTACAAAACTACCAAGAAAGGCACAAATTAAAATTATTGCTGAACATATTTTTTTATTGAAGCCTTTTCTTAGTATTAGTTCCAGATCAAAATATTTGGTTTTAGACTGAAAATTATACTATGATTTCTTTACAAAATTGTAGAAAGTCATCCCCCCTCCTAGAAGAATGAAATATTTTGAGAATTATTAAAAAGGCGGAATATTATATTTCCCTAAATGAAAAATTGAGAAACATGTTTTTTTAGAGGCAGGAAGCAACCCTAGTCTCCCTGCCCCCAAGCAGAGACTGGGAGGCAGATTTTAGAAATGCAGATTTGGCAATCCATTCAAGACAAGATATTTTGAAACTCCCTGAAGCAAAGTCTGAACAAATATTTCAAAAAACCCTCCAATAACATTACACCTTTATAACATCTTTTAAATAAAAGTCAATTAATAAAGTTTCTAAACCTTCCCCACCTTTTTTTCCAACTCACTGTTTAGAATTTATATCCAAGTTACTTTTGCCAATACCATAGCATGTATATATTGTTAAACAATATCCATTGACATTTCATTGTTGTTGTTATAATTGGCTAAAAATCATTTTACTATTTATGTCCCATCTCCTCTCGCCAGACCCCCCCC